CCCCGCCCCGCCCTTCAAGGTACGCTGACGAGGACGCGGCCGCCAACTATATGTACGGCCTGGAGTGCCTCTTCAGATTCTTCTCGTACGGCCTGGAGAACAAATTCAAACCCGAGCTGTACCGCGACTTTGAGGGCGTCGTGCTCCGCGAGTTCAAGCAGTACAACGGACTGTACGGACTGGAGAAGCTCTGGGCGTTCCACCACTACTGCGGACTGCCCGCGGACTGCGACCTGGAGGTGGACCCAGACCTGAAGGAGCTGCTGGAGGGGCCCTACAAAACCCTGGACTGCTTCAGGGACGAGCAGCGGCGGCGCGAGGCGGCGGCGGCGGCGGCGGGGCCGCAGAAGGGCCAGAAGGCGCCGCCGGGCGGCGCCGCGCAGCAGCAGCAGCAGCAACAGCAGCAGGAGGCAGGCAACGGGGCAACCCCCAAGGCAGGCTGAGGCGCCGCCGCGTGGCGGCGGCGCGGCGGCGGCAGGTGCTCGGCGCAGGCCCCTGGCCCAGCAGACCGCGGCTGTGCTGCTGCTCAGGTCGTTTCCCCGCACCGCGGGGCCGCGCGGCGCATGCCCGGGCTCAACGCGGCTGAGCCTGCGACAGCCGGGTGCCTGTGCACGCACGCCGTGGCCAGCTTGCCGCGGGTCGCCGCGGCGGCGCAATTTGCGGCCCTGTGCGCGGCGGCTGGGGCTTTTGACGACCCTTCCTGGCGCTGGAGCGGGTTGGGCGAAGCAACTGTGGTCCGGAGCCAGGCTGCGGCTGCAACTTGCGCGCAGCACGCGCGCGTGTCGCGGGGGCCATGGCGCGCGTGGCGTTGCCCTTGTGCAGTTGCACGCGCCGGGCCCGCGGCCTTCCCCCTCGTCCGGCAAGCGCGCAGCTCTCTACTATGCGCCGCTGCGACCCGCGGCGCCAAGCGCGTCCGCGGGCGTGACGGCGCCTGGCGCGGCCGGCGTGCGGCCGCTGGCCCTGCCTCAGCTCTCCGCTTCGTTTGTTGGACTGCGTGATTTAGCATCCGAAACCCCCTCAGGATTGTCGGCCCCAGGCCCGCCTTCCAAACACCCACGGTGCCAGCCCTCGACAATAGCTGCAGCAGCAGAGCACCTCGCTGCAGCCCGCGCGAGCCGTACTGTGGCACTCAGGTCCCCTCCCCCCCTTCCGTGGGGCAAACTGGAACCCAGCGCCGCGGCACGCGCCGTTCGCCGCGCGCGTGCCCATTGGCGCGCAGCGGGCGCGCTGGCGCGGGGCTCGGCCGGTCCGGCAGCTCTCGGCAGCCCAAGCGGCGCCCACACCCACGAGCAAGAGCACGCACACGCGCACGAGCGAGCGAGCCGCGAGGTGTGTGTCACAGAAGCGCCGCCTTGTCGGCGTGTCTCCCCACAACACGAATGGCGGCCCCTCCCCTCATATCGAGGAGCGGGCATGCCGCCAAAAAAAACGCGAGCGTGGCCGCTTGACTCCGTTGCTATCCTCTTCATGCTGCTTCCTCCCCTGCTGCGTGCGTGCCATGCCACCACCAACACCCCCTGCGCGGTGCCGCCCCCTCATCTCCACCTTTCTCTACGTTGGCTGCTCTTGCCAAACTGCGGTATGGGGTACCTGGAGCGGTGCCAGCCGCAACCCTTTGCGCTTTCCTGCGGGCGCCATACTGCCTATTTGTTGATGGGGTGGGAGAATTTACTTGGCGATCATTGTGAAGTTGATGCCGCGCGTTGGGCCAGAGCCGGTAACAAGTTCAATTGTGTGGCAGGTTGGCAGCAAGGAGTAAATGTGGATCAGGGTGAATGAAGTATGAAATACACTTTGTATGGCAAGCACAGACTCACAGTCATGTACAGTCACGCAGGCTTGCTGGGCCCACATGCCCGTGCACACGCGCGCACAAACACACGCACACACACACACACACACACACACACACACACACACACACACACACACACACACACACACACACATGCACGCACTCACCAACTCACGCACACATACACTCATAAACGCACACATACACACACATACACACACACATGAACACATACATCCCACCAACAACAAATATGTGCTAGTGGTAGCAGATGGTCGCCTGGGAATCCCAGGGCGCCTGCACAGCGCTCCCCTCGGGCGGCCGCTGGCCCTCCACCTCCCGCCACAGCGGGTCAGGCTGCGCTGGAACGCCCACAGGCCCCAGCGCCGTGCGAGAGGCCGGGACGCACGCACGCTCTTGATCCAAACGAACGCCACATCCCCCCTGCTGCTGGTGGTGGTGCTGCTGCTGCTGCTGGTGCTGCTGCTGCTGCTCCTCCTCCTTTTGCTGGTGCATTTCCCGCTCCTGCTGCTGCTGTTGCTGTTGCTGCCGCTGCTGTGGTGCCAGCTCCTGCTGCTCCTGCTGCTGATGCTGCCGCTGCCGCTGATGCTCGTGCTGCTGCTGCTGCTGCTGCTGCTGCTGCTGCTGCTGCTGCTGGTCGCTCACACCTGGCAGGCCAGCCACAGTCAGGGCACTGCCGACGCCAGCCGTCCAGAAGCCCATGTTTTGGCCAGCCCCCTTGGCCGCGATCGGCTTCACGCCAGAAAAGCGCAGGGACGCACCGGCGCCCCCGTCAGGCGCGACCAGCAGCGCGGCGCATCTGTGGGGTTGCGGGCAGGGCGCGCCAGGATGCGGACAGGGCGGGGGTGAGGCGGGATTTTAAAAAGGGGTGAGACACAGACACGGCCCACGCCTGGCGCCTGCAGCGCGTTCGCAGCACACGCGCGCCCTCCGCCGCGCCCCCGAGCGCCCCTGCGACCGCTGCCCGGCCCGCAGACGCGCTCTCTCTTGGCAACGCGCTCTCTATCAACGTCCGCCGCGCCGCGCGCCGCGCCGCACCCGACATACGCGGCGCTGTCCTCCTTGACGGCAACCTTCACGCGCCCCTTGCCTCCCGCCAGCGCCCTGCTGCCCTCAAATAGGTCAAGCTTCAGGATGAGGTAAGGCCGCTGCCCCTTGTGCTTGGCGGGCGCCGCGCTCTCGGGCCGCTCCGCGAGTCGCCCCTCCAGCACGTGCGTCGGCGCGCCTGCAGACCACGACGGCGCTGCCGAGCTGCCTCCCGGCCTGCGCGGTGTGTGCCCCGTGGAGGCCGCTTGGTCGGGCTGCGGCGCCGCGTCCCCCGAGCGCTGCCGCGGCGCGGGGGCGGGCTGGGGGGTGGACGCGCCGCCGGCGCCGCCGCCGCTGCTGCGGCCGCGGCCGCTGCTGGCGCTGTCCGCCTCGTCCCCTTCGCGCCGCGCCGCCCGCTCCGATGCGTGCGGCGCCGGAGCCGGCGGCTGCGGCGGCGCGCGCGGGGGTTGCAGCGCGCCGCAGCCGGCTGTGGCCACTGCGTGCTGCTGCTGCTGCTGCTGCTGCTGCTGCTGCTGCTGCTGCTGCTGCTCAAGCGGGACGTTTATCCTGCCCGGCAGTGGCCTTGAGCGGTCCGGCTGATCGACGCCGCTGAAGCAAGCCGCGTGGCTCACCGCCGCCGACGACACGGCCGGCGCCCCTGCGCCACCCGGCCCCACCAAACCGCCGCTCGCCCACCCGCCGCAGCTGCCAGCCACCCCCGCGCTCGCGGCCGGCGAAGGCCTCGCTGCCGCCCCCGCCGCCGCCGCACGCGGCGCGGGCACAGGCTGCGTCGCCCGGCCCGCGCTCGGCTGGGCGGAGGGGGGCGGCATGCGCGCGCGGTCTGGCAGTTGGTACCCCTCTGCTGCCGCCGGGTCTGCCGCCGCCAGCGCGCGCAGCAGCCTCTGGTACTCGGCCCTCAAAGGGGCCGCGTGCGCCGCGCCGCACACCATCATTGAGTGCAGGCAGGGCATGACCGCCCCTACCCATGCCGCCGCGGTCTGGCTTCGGCCGGCACCGCCGCCATCATGCTGCCGCTGCTGCTCCTGCTGCTGCTCCTGCTGCTGCTCCTGCTGCTGCTGCTGCTGCTGCTGCTGCTGCTGATCCTGGCCCTGCGGCCGCGGCTGATCCAGCAGCCAAGTGCAGAACCTGAGCCCTGCCAGTGCCAGCTCCAGGCTGTAGCTATCCGGCCGCACAACCCCCAGCGCGCGCGCGCCACCGCTGCCGCCGCCCCTGCCCTGCGCTGCCGCGGCCGCCGCGGCCGCGGCGACGGAGCCCTCGCCTTCGCCGGCTGCCCACGCCCTCAGGACCGGCGAGTCCGGTTGGGGCATCCCCAGCAGCCGGCTGAGCTCCAGGTCTGCCGCCGCCGCCGCACTCGCGTCGAGCGGCCGCCAGCAGGCGCCGCGCTGCTGCGGCGGCAGCGCCGCGAGCGCCTCCGCGGCCGCGGCGGCCGGGAGCTGGCGCGCGACTTGGAGGAGCGCGTGGCGCAGCAGGACGGACAGCAGCAGCGCGGCGGCGGCGGCGAGCTGGGGCTGTGTGACGGGCCTGCAGCTCCTGAGGGGGCCATCGCTGGGATGGCGAGGGGCAAGAGGAGCGGCGGGGCGGGTGGGGCGGCGGGTTTCGAGGGGGTGGCGTGTGCGCAACCAGGCTTCACCGGGAGGCACCTGCTGCGCCCACGCAGGCGGCAGCCTGTGCTCGTCTCATCACAAATGGTAGCGGCCTGCCCTAGTCACTCTGTGACCCAGGCTTCCACCCCAGCAGCTGGCCGTGGCCTGCTGCTTGATTACAGGGCCCATGCTTCTACACAGAAGAATGTTCGAAGCAGGGCAGACCCACCCGCGAGAGGCTCACCCAAACAACACCGGCGCTCCGCCAGCGCCATCAAGGTGTCCCTGCCCCGGCGGCGGCGGCAGCGCCATGCCGCCCGGCTGCTTCAGCAGCCGCTGCGCCAGCTTGTAAGCCTGCAGCTGCGCCGCCAGCAGCCCCGGCGCCAACGCCTGCTGCTGCTGCTGCTGCTGCTGCTGCTGCTGCTGCTGCTGCTGCTGCTGCTGCTGCTGCTGCACGCCCGCGGCCAGCAGCTGCACGAGGGGACGTAAAAGGCAAGGCAGGAAGAGCCGCAGCGCCGCCGCCGACAGCATGCCTGGCTGGCCAAACAGGGCAACCAACAGGTGCAGCGCATTCACGCCCCTGTGCAGCGCCAGCGGCGACTGCGTGGCCGCGGCCTGCTGCAGCAGCAGCCGGAAGTGGACTCCGAGCAGCGTATGCAGCAGCGCCGGCGAGCCGCCGCCGCCACCAAAGCAGCCCGCCGCCAGCGCCGCGGCGCCGCCCGCGTCGGCCATGGCACTAGCGGCCAGGGCTGTCAGCAGCACCTCCTGTTGTGGCAGCGCGTCCGCCGCCGACAGGCTGCGCGTGAGGCTGGAAAGCAGCTTGCGCAGCAGCGCGAATCCCAGGGCGTCCCCCCCTTGAACAAGCAGGGGCACCGGCGGCCGGTAAGGCTGCTGCGGCGGCTGCCGTGCATTTGAGCCTGGGGAGGCGGGAAGCTTCACGCCGTCCAGGAGGAAGCTGCCGTCGGCTGCCAGGTCAGCGAGGGTGCGGAGCACTTCAGGAAGCAGCTTCAGGGGGCTCATCTGTTTGAGGGCAAGGGAGCGGGGATAATCAAGAGCTTTTCATCATGCATGGTATGAACATCAACAGATTAGTGATTCAGCATGAATGCAAGCTCAGCCACAAGCAGCAACGCGAGCCAGCCCAAGCCCCCGCCCCACCCGGCCACCCTGGGATGCCTGCCTCACCATGAGCGCGGCGACCGCCTGCCGCAGCCCTTCGTCATCGCCGCCGCCGCCGCCGCCGCCGCCGCCGCCGCCGCCGGGCGAGGGGGCCCCGCCGCTGGACAGCTGGCTGCGTACGTCGCAGACCGTTGACACCGACATGTGGAGGATGGCTGAGAGGGACTGCGGGGTTGCAGGGTGTGTGGATGGTCGGGTGGTCGGGTGGTGGCTACGTGGCCGGGTGTGCCGAATGGGTGAGAGTGAGCGATTGACGGAGGCGGCCGGTGAGCGTTGACGGTCTGTGGTAGCTGGGGAGGGGAGCCGCAAAGCAGAAGTGATGCCGCAAGCGTCTGCGGGTCCAGGGGCCGCCGCCAAGCGGCCCCGCAGGCCGCCTCACGGCATCGGCTTGACAATCCAGGGCTGAGTCGAGGCAATCATGCATTGCGGCACCCCAGTATGTCCACGGCTGCGGTATCAGCACTCATCCCCACAACCCCCCACCCGCACCTCTCCCAAAGCCAAGGCCAAGCCCCTTGCCCGCTGCCGCGCCGCCGCCCCGCCCCCGCCGCCGTCCCTCCCGCTTAGCCCGAGCTGCGGCGGCGCCGCGGCGGCTCCGGCCGCGGCGCGCAGCATGGCCAGCACCGTCAGCAGGACCCCGCTCTGCCACTTCAGCAGGGACGGAGGGTGGCCCGCGCAGTACAGCTCGCGCTGACGCGCCTCCAGCACCGCGCCCATGCCCTCCAGCACCTGCGGTGTTGGTGTGTGAATGATCACAATTGCAGGGATTTGAAGGTTTGGGTCGCAACAAGGCCTCGATTCAGTTGAGGAGGCAACCGGCCCTCAGCCGCCGCTCTATATCCCAGGATTTAGCGGCACTCGTGTGGCAGCTGCGGTGTCAGCGGGCATCCAGCAGCCACCACTGCGCTGCATGCCCGTCGTCCAACCCGCCGCCTCACCTCCAGGAGCCTGCAGGACCATCGGCCGTCCCGCACCATCGCCGACAGCACCGCCCCCACCATGCCGCCCCGCAGCGCGCCTACCATGCCCACACCCGCCCCGCCGCCGCCGCGGCCGCCGCCCAGCGCGGCGGCCGCCGCGTCAGGGTTGGTCCAGTCCATGGCAAACGCGGCGGCGCGCCCCGCCTCGTCAGCCCCGTCGAAGGGGAAGCCGTCAAACAGCCCGCCCGTCTGCGGCAGCCGCGACAGCACCCACGATATGTGCGCCAGGCTCGCGCCCCGCAGGGGGTCGACAGCCGCCCGCAGCCACATCTTGACCATCCATACGGCCGCGTCCGGCGGCGCGCCGCTGCCGCCGGGCTGCCCGCCGCCGCCGCCCCAGGGCGCGGACAGGACCGACGGCACGGCGCGCGGCACCCACGCCGCCAGCACGACCGCCATCTGGCGGTGCTGGGCGCTGGTGCAGTGGCACCAGAACAGCTGCAGGCCGCCGTGCGGCGCGAGCAGGCGCCCCTCCAGCTCTCGCCACGTCAGCCGCTCGGCCTGCAGCTGCAGCGCGTACACGCGCGCGAGCGCGCATGTCGCGAGGTCGACGGTCATGCGCCGCTCCGCGTTGCTGCCTCTGAAATGGACGGCCGGTTGCTGCTGCTGTTGCTGCTGCTGCTGCTGCTGCTGCTGCTGCTGCTGCTGCTGCTGCTGCTGCTGCTGCTGCTGCTGCTGCTGCTGCTGCTGGGCCGGGGACGTCCCCTGCTGCTGCTGCTGCTGCTCCAACCGCTCCACCAACCCCTTCCGCGCCTCAAACGTGGCCGCGTGCAGCCGCTCGAGCGGCAGCAGCAGCGATGGGGCCGCGGCAGCCTCGAGCTGCGCTATCGCCGCCAGCCGCTCCCTCGGCGCCGCCGGCAGCGCCGCCGCGCCGGCGCTCGCAGCCAGTGCGGCAGCTGCGGCGGCGGCGGGCGGCTCAAGCCACTGTGAGGATTCGGCCACATCTGGGGCGGCGGCGCTGAGGACTGCGTACACCAACGCGAGGGCGTTGTTGCGCAGCTGCGGGCGGCAGGCGGGGCGGCAGTGAGAAGCGCTGGGTGCGTGTGATTGCCTGGCTGCAAAGCAACAGCGCAAACAAAACAGCAACAGGCTGTGCTGATTGGCCCCGATTGAGGGGTTGGTCATTGCAAATCGAACAACTTCAGCACGCAAAGGGCACCGGCAACGGTGCGTTCGCTCATGCACTCACGCGTACACGCGTGTTTGCCCAAGCGCAAGTGGGCGCGCGCGTGTGCGCGCACGCGTGCGCGCGCGCACACCCACACACACACACACACACACGCACATGCGTGCGCACGCACACACATACACATAATTGCACACACGCGTACGCGCGCGCCCGTGCACACCCCATTCCACTCCCCACCTTTGCATCAAACGGCCCCCGCGGGTCCAGCAGCCGCGCCACGGGCTCCCCAAGCAGCAGCCCCGCGTGGCGCCCCAGCGGCCGCGCCGCCGCCTGCAGGTGCGCCAGCAGCACCGCCAGGATGCTGCTCTGCGCGTGGCGGAACGCTTCGAGCAGCGGCAGCGCCTCCTGCCGCGCGTCGAGCGCGGCGGGGTCGTCGCCGCCGCGGGCGCCGCGCAGGCGGAGCGGGCCCATCTCGCGGGGCTTTGGGGGAAAGGGAGAGCAGAGGGCGTTGGGCGGTGGGTTGTGCTGCGACAAGGAGCAGCAGCGGCAGCAGCAGCAGCTGCAGCAGCAGCGGCGGCAGCGGCGGCAGCTGCAGCAGCGGCAGAGGCCTCTCGCACACGCCCAGCCACTTGCATGTGTGTCCTTCAATTCAATGTTGACGCCCTCCCACCCCCACACAACCTCCTCCTCAACTCACCTGGCTGAAGTCCTGCGCCGTCCCGGTCAGCAGCATCACCTGCTCGTACTCATCCAGCAGCTGCCCCATCATCTTCACCACCCGCCCGCCGAGCTTCCGCACCGCCGCGGCCCCCGGCCCCGCGCGCCGTACCAGCGCTCGCAGCAGCTCCACCGCGCCCGACAGCAGCGCCGCGCGGGCGGCCGGGTCGGACGACTTCAGATCTAGGAACGGCTGGTGGCAGGTGAGGAGGTTCGAGATGTCCAAGGAAACGACCCCCAGGGGCAGAACATGGGCCATCTCTTTGAGGAGGGCGACCGCGGCCTCGAGCTCAGAGTGAGTCAGGCGGAAGCTGCGGCCCTCGAACGACAGCGGCGCCGCGGCTGCGGGCGGGCGGAGGGATTCGGGGGGGAGCGAGGGGGCTTGGCAAGGGGCAGGGGCTGTGGATGCAAGTCACGGATGCAGCAGGGGTACAATCTGGAGAGGCTGCACCGGGGTCCCCCCCGGGGTCGGCCCGGGAGGCTGCGCACGGGCCTGCAAATTGGCAGGCGGTGCGCGCTGGCTGCCTGTTGAGCTTTGCGTCCCCTTGGCGCGGATTGCCGAGAGCTAACCCCCTGCGCAACCCCCACCTGGTGAGCCGGGGAACTGCCTGCTGTCCACGACTGCCCGTGGCTCGTCCCATTGGAAATAGAGGTCAAGGCACCGCTGCAGCAGCGGCGCGCCGTAGCGCCGCGCCGCCTCGGCTTGCGCGGCCGCAGACGGCGCCTCGGTGAGGCGCCGGAAGTCGGCCAGGCAGGCCGTGAAGGCCCCGCCCTCTTCCTCGGCGCGCCGCGAGGCGCCTTGCTGCAGCTCGTGGTGCTCATCCTCCTCCAGCGGCCGCCAGGGCGCCATGGCTGCCGGCGACGGGCGGGCCGCTTCCGCATCGGTGCGAGCGCTCAGGCCGCCCGCTGCAAGCCGAGCAGGCTGCGCGGGTCGCGGGGCGGCTTCGTCGTCGCCGCCATCCTGCGAGTCATCTAAGATTATGGGATCCGACGAGGCGCCCGCACGCGCATCGCCGCCGCGCCCGCGCCCCTCGCCACGGTCGCCGCTCCGCCATGGCTCGACTGCCGCCTGGGCCTCCGCTTCGGACCACTCCCTGCCCCCCGCCGGCGCACGGCGCGCGGCGCCGCCGCCACCAGCCCTCGCGGACGGCGCAACCCGCGGCGCCGGATGGGCGTGCTGCAGGTGCTGCGCCTGCCGGCCCAGCTGCGTTTCGCGGATCCACCGCGGCAGCCGCGCCCGCCTGTCCAGCGCAGGCGCAGCGCCAGCCGCTGCGGCGTGCACGGGCACGGGCGCGCCCGCCCGCTCCCCCGCACCACCTTGGCTGAAGCCGGGGGCGCTGTCGCCGGGGAAGTCTCCCGCGCGGATTGAATCACACTCCAGCGCTAGCAAACGCTGCTGCTGCTGCTGCTGCTGCTGCTGCTGCTGCTGCTGCTGCTGCTGCTGCTCTCCGTGCGCCAGCTTGCCCTGCTGCTGCGGGGCGGCCCATGCATGGTCCAATGACGTCCCAGCCCGCTGCACCGCGCCCGGCGTCCCGGCGGCAGCAGGCGCCACAGTAGGGCTAGGCGACAGCGGTCCCGCTCGCTGCTCTGCTGATGTCAGCGCGTCTTCGGGCCCCAGGGGCAGGCACACCACCGGTAGCAACTCCATCCCGCTGCTGCCGCCGTCGCGGCCCGACCCAGGTCCTGCTGCTTGTCGCGCCGCACCGCCGGCCGCGGCCCCTGCCAGCTGCGCCCGAGCCAGGTCGTCCGAGGATGCGGCACTCCCGGAAGCATGCCCGCCGCCTCCACCCCAGCTGACGCCCCCCTCAACAGGCGCGCCTGCCCTACCGCCTCCTCCCCTGCCGCCGCCGCCGCCGCCGACACCGCCAACACCGCCGCCGCGCGACCTGGGCGGCTCCCGCTCCCCCGCGTGCTGCGCCCCTGCGCCGCCCCCGCCGCCGCCGCCGCCGGCCGGCCCCAGCCCTAGCGCGGCCAGCACGCCGGCCGCCGCTGCGTCGTCGCCGGCGCCGTCGTCCCCCGCGTCGAACGCCTCGTCAAGCCCCAGCGCGCCGCAGCCGAGGCCCTGTGCTTCCAACGCCGCAAACGCCTCCGCCTCCGGCATCCCAAACACGCGCAGCACGCCTGCGACCTGCCTGTCCCGCGCACGCCCGGCGGCGCGCCGCATGTCGAGCCGCCGCCGCTCTTTCTCGCGCGCCCCAACGCGCGGCGCCGCCACGCCGGCGCCGGCGCCGGGCGCGGTGGCGCGGGGGCGGTCGGGGGGCGGCAGCAGCGCGTCCAGGCGCATCATGGGTGTCACTATGCCGGCCACGTGGAGGTGAGTCAGGATGACGTAATGGGCCACCTGCGGGTGACGCAAGGGGGCCGACACCCGAGGCCAAGCTGGGTGACTACGTGCAAGGTGGCGCCCGCCACACGTGCAAGGTTGACGTGGCTGTTGCAGAGCCTTCATTCTTTGAATGGGGTCATGACAGGCCGCCTTGGTCCCGCCCCGGCGGCACGGCCCATTAGAGAGGCGCCCCTGGAGCCGGCCCCATGGCCCCAGCACGTTCTGCCCCGGCCCGCGGCCCATCGCCACTGGCGGCCCGTCTGCACAGCAGTAGGCTGTGCGGTCCCGCCAGGTTGGGTGCTTTGCGCTGCTCCGCAGATGCAGTGTGCTGCAAATGCAGCGCCGCCTGACAGCAGCAGCCGCCGCCCACCGATTTGTACCCGAGGTGCTGCGCCTCGTGTATGAGGATGTTCGTGAACTCCAGCTGCCGCCGCGCGCGCTGGCAGTTGCTGCCGGAGCAGTTGCAGATCTCGCGGCAGCAGGGGCAGCGCCAGCCCAGGCTGGCGTCGCCCGAGTCGAGCGCGCGCTGCTGCGCCTCCAGCACCTGCGCGCGCGCAGGCATCGGTTGCGGGCGGATGCAGACGTGCGCAACGCAGGCTTTTGCATGCCAGACCACAACGGCTCGCCGGTGACTTTGCAAACTGGAAGTACCAGCAAACCGCCAACTGAGCCCTTGTGTGTGGCTTCAATGGCTGGCAAGACCTCGCGGGGCCGCGGGGCGCCGCCACCCTCGCCCCACGCACACCCAGCAGTCCTGCCCTGAGCCCGTTCGCTGCCGCCGCCCCAGCCCTTGCGAACCAACGCCGCCCCCAAACCCACCACACCCCACCCCCGTGGTCCCCCACCTCCTTCAGGCTCTCGCCCATGCGCTTCTCCAGGCAGTCCCCGCACCACACGCCGCGGCTGGGGCCCCCCTCGATGTCGCGGCGTCGCGTGTTGCCACACGCGCACCAGGTCTTGAGGTCGATGGTCTTCTGCCTAGGAAGGATACAAGTTGTTGTATTTTTGGTGTTCACACGCCCGTATCAGTTTAAGGGCTACAACTCGTGCAGTCACATGTACAGAAGGTGTGCATGCTGTCAGCACTTGCTGCACCAGCCTGTTGCACCAGGGAACGGCGGGCGGCCTGACGGTGGCGCTTTCGATACGCCGGCTGCGCTTTGACACGCTGTTGCGCGCTCTGGGGTCGAGCTGAATGCCCGCACCCACGCGCCTGCAGAAGTGGCAGGTCTGGCACGAGGTGCAGCCGGCGCCGTGCGCGTCCTTGCACCACACGCGGCCGCCGCGGTGGTTGTTCCGCCTCTTGGTCTCCCATTTGACCAGCCGCCGGAGGTGCTCAACCCCATAGTACTCCCTGGTGAAACGATTGGCAGACCAAGCGAGGCGCGAGCGTGATTGGCAAGTTCTGTTTGGGGGGAAAAAGTTTCAACTCGGTCGCTGAGCAGGAGAAACGCCGGATCTCAGCATGCAGAGGGCACTGGAGGGCCCTGCTGCGGGCACATCAGGCCCCTGGGCCGCCGGCGCCGCGGCGCCATTGTCCAGCACTCACTTGACGCCGCGACGCCTGTGCTCCGCAATCATTTGCTCCAGCTTCGGTCCCACTGGAAAGTTGCGGGGGTTGTCGGCCATGCGCTGCAGGTAGGACCGCAGCCGCCGCTGCGCGGCCTCGTCCGAATGCGGGTCTGACCGCACGGGCGCTGGCAGCGGCGGCGCGGCAGGCAGGGGAACGCGGGGCGCAGGCGGCGCCAGCGCCGGCGCGCCGGCCGGGGCGGGGTATGGATGCGCGACGGCCGGCCGTTTGCGCGGTCTCTCGTGCTGCCGGCTGCGGGGCGCAGGGTGTGGCGGAGAAGGATCCCCGCGCCCGCCGCTGCTGTCTGAGCATGCGCTGCTGCCCTCGCCATCTGGACCGTCGCCGCTGCGCCGGCGAGCACGCGGTCGGCGGCGCCTGAGCGCCGGAGGGCCATTCGAATTTTCGTCTGAGAGGCCCTCAAAAATGTCAAATGAAAGGACCCCAACGATGGCGTCCTCCATCGCAGGATCCATCATGCAGCAGCACAGGCGCTCTGCTGCGCGCGCTGCGCCGTCGCACGGGTGTGCGAGGGCCTCAGGCCGCACAGAGCGCGGAGTAATGCGACAATGGGTTTTCCTACATGCCTTCCACGCTGCCTTTTACAGCGGCTACGCAGTGACAACTAGATCGCGATTTGAATTTGAGATGTGGGGAGGCAATCGAGAAGCGGCGGTGTGGGGCATGTAAGCCATAAACCCATAGATGCTAGGAATGCCTGGCCGCACAAGTCACAAACATTATCCGGTAGGTGCATCTGGCTGCGGCGCTGCCCACCCTGCATGCCAGCTGCATACCGTAGCATGGCCAAAAGGCATGCTGGATGATGATTGTGATTTGATTATATGATGACAAGTGATAGATTTCACTCAATTGAGGCAGTATACACTCTAGATCTGGGGCGCGATCTCATTCCCGCCATATGGCATGCTGCTGTGGGGGGGGGGGGCAAGCAGCACTGCATGTGAGCCTTGTTGCAGCACCAGCACAATCCCCTCATCTACAGATTCGACAGCCCCTGGAAGTTACCAAGTGCTTTTCCCTTGCATGCCCATGCGTGCTGCCTGGGGTTGCTCTCTGGAACATGGATGTGCACTCACGCCATCGACTGTGCTGGGCTGCTGGCCTGCGATTGGGATCAAACTGTGCATCACCAGTGCAGTGAATGCAATCAAAACCACGCCTGGGTTGAAGCACACAGGATGGCATGAGGCTGGTGCTTGACATCTGCTTTCATGCTTGCTCTTCACTCCCTCAATTTGCGGACCGTTCAATATTCATACGGATAGCCCAGATCAAGCCTGAGCACGCTTGCATGTCTGATGCACATATTGAGCGATATACATGGCTAGTCAACAAGCAGAGCGGTTACGGGCCGTACATTTTGTTTGTCACTGCGCAGCATCTACATCCGACTAATTATGTGAGACTTGTACCAAAGCACAATCGCCAGTTATTTTGTTGCTATTTATTATTTTCACTCGATCAGCAGCATGCGGACTGCGTTACGGTGACACACTATTGCATCCGTCTCTCTGCTGCCTTACAGTAGTGGGGCAATTGCAATTAATTTACCAAGACCAGTAGCACATACATATCTGATGAGCGCCGGCGGCTGCGCGTGGGGTAGGCCGCCGTCTGGCAAGCGGCGTCGCCGCTGCGCAAAGTGATGTGGCAAGCCAGCGCAGCCGCCCCGGTAGCCGGTACCCGTATTGCAGTCAGTCATGCAGGACGTCGAGGCAAACGCCGACGAATCGCTGCAACGCCTGCGAACGCTGGGATTGGTAAGTGCGCCCTGAGCCCGTCCACTTTGACCAGGGCAGCAGGGGACGCTGGAATGCACTCCACGGCAAGACTGGCAACCTCTGATCGCAGCAGCTTGGCACACATCGCGTGCCAAGTGTCAGCTGCGCCCATTCTTCGCTCTCCCAGGCGCTCGACGGCCGCCTGCAGCAACGGGCCCAGGAAGCTGCTGAGCTGGACGCCCTGAAGCTGCGCCGCCCCCAGCCCCCGAGGCACCCGCTGACAGACGATGACGTGGCGGGCCCGCTGGCAGACCCACCGCCGGAGGCTGGCCCTAGCTCGCACGAAGACGGCGGCAGCAGCGGGGCCGGCGCGGGCGTTTGGCCGGGGCGGCGGTCGCTGGACGCGCCTGGTTGCGGTGCCCACGACAGCCGCGACCCAAGCCCAACCCTGAGCGGATTTGCGGAGCCGCGCGCCGCCGCAGCGCCCGATCAGGGGGCACCTGCCGACTGGGCGGGGCCCGACGTTGACGGCGCGCCGCCGCCAGAGCAGGGGCGCGCGGCAGTCCCCCGCCTTGCTGAGTCAGGCGAGACTCGCGCCCGGCGCTCCCGCAGCAAGAGCCGCAGCCCCCAAAGGCATCGCCGTGCAGACGCCGACGCCGCAAGCGCCGCGCTGCAGCAGTGCACGCGGGCGGCGGCGGGCGCGCCGTCTTGGGAGCAGGCAGCAGCGCTCGCGGCGCTCGAGAATCGGCTGCCCTTCAGGCCCGCCGGGCGCCTGCCAGGGGGCGCCTGCCACCAGCCCGCCAGGGCCGCAGTCTGCGCTGCCCAGCTCGATGCATCTTTGTGGCCGCGGCGGATGGCGCCAGCGGATGGCGCCACAGCATCCGCTGCCTGCGACGCGGGGTCGCCCGGGCGCGCGCGGGGCGGCGCCCGTGGGGCAGAAGCAGGGACTGACGCAGGCGGGACTTGTGGCCGCGGCGCCGGCGAACGGCCGGGGCACAGCGCAAGCAAGCCGTTGACATGCACAGTCGGGCAATCAGCTGCGGCGGCGTTGATCAACGCGGTCTCGAGCCACTGCGCCGGGGCCGCCGGCAGCAGCAGTAGCCGCGGCGCCGGCGGCTGGGGCGACCCTTGTGGCAGCAAGAGCGCGCTGTGGGCGGAGGGGGACGCAGAGGCAGACTGTGAGGCGGAGGCCTACCTGTCTCGGCGCCTGCGGCGGCTGCGGCTTCCACAGGCGGCACTGATGCTGCAGTGCGCATGGCGTGCGAGGGGCCCTCGCCTGCTGTTCTCGCGGTGGGTTGGGGGCCACGCGGCAGCCGACCAGCCGCACGCACGGAGCTGCCCCAGCTGAGTCAGCTTTCTGTGTGTCTGTCGTTCTGGCCTGTGGCGTTGATATGTGGACGGCACAACACACATCACTTGATAGTGATAAAAGTGATAATGTCAGCCCATAGTCATCTCTTTTGTACACCATTCCGTCGCCCCGCAGGTTTGCCGAGCTGCGCGCCCGCAGGCGGGCGGGCGCCATCAGGCCGGCATGGGCGGCGTGGCGCGGCTGGACCCGCGCCGCCGCCCACGAGCGGCGGCGGCGCCTGGGGGCGGCTTTCGGGGGTTGGATGGAGCTGGGGACTCTGACCACTGCATATTTGTCAAAGGTTTGCCGCCGGCCTTGAATGAAAATGAATCACAACATGCTCGCTGATGAGCTCGCCTGCTGTCCAGCTTTGGGGGGTGCAGGAGCGGGTTGAGCCGGGCCCTGCAGGCGTTTCCTGTGCATGGTCTGTTCAAAAAATGCGGGTGCCAGTTGTTTTGTCTCTAATATGTGCAACCCCGCCGACAACAGAGCTGGCATGGCTCTGTGGATAGGTGGCAAGGGGGATAGGTGGCAGACGCCCTGCCCACCTGCAACACTCCAAAACAGCCGCCTGCATCAACCTTGTCCGCAGGTGCTGCAGCAGCTGCGTCACAGCGGCGCTCTCGTAGACCAAGGCCCGGCCATGAGAATGTGGCGGCTGTGCGCGCCGCCAGACGGCGCGGGGCCGCGCGCGCGGCCGGGGCTCGGGGGCGTGCTTGGGGCGATCCTGCGGCACCAGTACCCGTTGCGGCTGATGAGGGTGAGTAATCAGGGGTGACACGGGTGACCCCAGTGACCCAGGTGACCCAGGTGTCCTGGGTGTCTTGCTGCTGTGTGCGTTTGGTTGTGTGACTCTGGAGGGTTGAAGGCGGCTGACAGGCTCGCTCGCTGCTGAGAAATTCACCGCCGTTGCTGTTGTGGGTTTGGGTGCAGTAAGACTGTGATACGCAAAAGTACGGCGCACTAACACGCCCGCATGACATCGCGTTGTAGCATCCCCAGGCCCCGCCGTCGGCCCCACCTGGCCCATTGTCGTGCTGCTCGGCCCGCGCTCTCCCCGCACCGACAGGCGTGCTTCCGTGCGTGGCGCGGCCACCTGCAATCTAAGCAGCGGGCCCGCGCCGCCGCGCTGTCGGCGGCCGCCTACAGCGCCCGCCCCCGCGCGCGCCGCGCGCTTCTGCGGCGCGCGCTCGTGTTCTGGCGCGCATGGGCGCAGACGCTGATGGCGGAGCGGCTCGGGGTCGAGCCGGCGCTGCCTCGGCCGCTGCCGCCGGAGTTTGAGGACTGGGTGTGGCGCCACCGCCATCGCCGACACCTGCAGCGGCGCGCGGAGGCGTTCCACCAGGGGCTGCGGTCCAAGGCGGTTTTGCGTGAGTGTGATCTGGGGAGTGGGACCGATCAGATACGGGAGAGCTCAGGGGAGGCTGAGGGATGGGGGGGCATAAGGTGGCCACTGCGACCAGCCAGCTTCAGAATGAGTTGTCAATGATAATTCAGCTGCTGCTGCCTGTAGGTCTTCAGGAGGTCGAGTCGGTGGTCGCCTGCGCACCTCTCATATTACTACAGCGCGCTCTCACAAGCCGGCCACCCTCCTCCCCCGCCCCACCCGGCCGCCGCCCGCGGCCGCAGGCGCCTGGCGCGCGCACGCCCACCGCGTGTCCCGCATGCGCGCCGCGTGGAGCGGCGCGCTGCGCGCCGAGCCCGCGCAGCTGGTGCGCGCGGCGCTCGCGGGCTTCAAGGCCAACTGGCGCGCCGGGCGGCGGCAGCGCGCAGTGACCGCGGGCGCGCTGGCGGCCTGGCGCGCGGCCACGCGCAGAAACGCAACGGTCAGGGCGCTCGCGCAGCGCATCAAGGAGGTGAGCCGGCAGCTGCGCGGCGGCTGCGTGCCGTGCAGGCGACTCGGCGGCCGGCGGGGTCCATCCGCAGTTGGAGCATGCGGCTGGCCAATGCTGGGGTTTCTGGGCGTCGCGTTCTTTGCAGGCGCTGACCTGGCGGCACTGCGGGGCCGCTGACTTACCCTTGCCATCCCCTCGCATATCCATGTGCCCCTCACGCCCAGGCGAGCCAGCGCCGCGCAAAGGCGCATGCCCTTGCTGCGTTCGCCCGCCATCGCAGCGCCTCGCAGCTCCTCGCTGCAGCCGCCACGGCCCGCATTTGGGCGGCGCGGCCGCTCGCGCTCGCGCACGCGTGCGCGTGGCGCGGGGACAGCCTTCATGCTGCATTCCTGCTGCTGTGGGTGCGGTGGCGCGACAAGGCGGTCGGGCGGCTGCGGATGAGGGCGTTCCTGGCTGCCCACATGATGAGGTGCGCCGAGTGTGCGCGGCAGGTGTTTGTCCGCCTGCCTTTGCGCCTTGCAATGCACTAACAC